AGATCAGTATCGGCAGCCCGCCAGGTCGGCACCAAGCGGGGCGCCGCCACGTGGTCCTGCCTGCAGGCGCCGGCCTGCGTCGCGAGGTGCTCGAGCGCCCCGTGCGTCCCGGCGCCGAGGCCGCAGCAGGTGCCCCCGCTCCTGTGGCTGCCCGCCTGCTGCTCGTCCTGGCCGTCCCCGCCCGAGGCTGCTGGGCGTGGCCGCACGGCCTCTGGAGACGGCTCGCGCGGCCAGGCGGCCCCACCAACGCAGCGCTCTCCTCGCTCGGGTGGCACCATGGGCACCCGAGAGGCTGCAGCTCCTCCGCGGAGCCTGCACCGCGAAGGCACGTCCGCGTGAGCGCACGCTCATCGCGAGGCGGGAGCTCGTTCGTATCCCTGGCCTGGGGAGCCGGCCAGAGGGCGGTGGATATGGATGTGTGTTGGGCCCCATGGGGGCCAAAATGTATCGGGCGCGGCCTAGCCGACCCCTGGCAAACCATCCCCTTCCGTGACGCCCCCTTCGCCTCTCGAGCCCCCCCCCGGCCGCATACACACGTCTCGGGAAAAGGCGCGAGGGACGTCACGCAAGGGGACGCTCTGCTGGGGGTCGCTTAGGCCGTCCCCGGATGCATCCATACCCAACGCCTCCCGAGATCCCCGATTATCGATGCCCCGGGCGGCGCCTATGGAGCAGGAGGAGGAGGAGAAGCAGGAGGAGGAGGAGGAGGAGGTGGAGGAGGAGGAGGAGCAGGAGGAGGAGGAGGAGGAGGAGGAGCGCCTATGGATATGCCACCCCCCTGCCTCGGACCTGCGGCGGCGCCGCCCGCGTCGCTTTCGGGCGCCCTCGCGCCTGGGGCGGCCCGCGGCGCGCCTTCCGGCGGCTGCGCCTCGAGGCGCCTCCGCTCCGGAGGCGCGTGCAGGGCGCGACGCCTCGGCGGGCCCACCCAGCGCACGAGGCGCCCACGAGGCGCCCGCCCACAGCAGGGCTCCTCCTCCCTCCTCCCTCCTCCTCCTCCTCCTCCTTCCTTCCTTCCTCCTCCCTCCTTCTCTCCCTCCTCCTCTTCTCCTCCTTCCTGCTCCTCCTCCTCCTCCCTCCTCCTCCTTCCTGCTCCTCCTTCCACCTCCTCCTCATCCTTCCTCCTCCTCCTCCTCCTCCTCATTCCTCCTCCCTCCTCCTCTTCCTCCTCCGTCCTGCTCCTCCTTCTCCTCCTTCTCCTCCTCCTCCTCCTCCTAATCCTCCTCCTTGCCCTCCTGTGGGTGTGGCCAGACGAAGGAAGAACGGCATTGAAAACGAAAAGTGCTGGCGCTCCGCATGGATTTCTTGGATCTGCGCCGGACCCCCTCCCTGGCGTACGGAGCGCCCCCGGGGCGGCGCCGGAGGCGCCGCTAGGGGGGCCCAGCGCGGATCCAAGAAATCTGCGCGGAGCACCACAAGTTTCTGTTCATTGCGTGTTTTCTTCTTCGAGTGGCATCTCGTGTCCGCCTCGTTCGCTGAGCTTCGCCTGGTGCCCGCCCAGCGCCTACCCCGGCCCCTCTGCAAGCGACCACGGAGCGCGCTCTGTGGCTACACATCTACCGAACTGCTTGCGCAAGTCTGGCCACCGTGGCAGCGCAGCGCTGTGCGCGGCATCCATTCACGAGCAAATGTGTCTCTCGCTTCCATTGCGGAAACGCCGTGCAGAACATGTAAGAGAAGGAACAGTATCCTGGCGAGAGACCCAGCCATATGCGCGAGTGAATAACGCCGTAGTGAATATCGTCTTCGATGGGGCTGCCAATTGACCACGCAACGTGTGACGCGTGTGCCGACATGAGAAGGGCTTCCTCATGCGGGCTGTGCCAGTGGGGCCGTCGGTGAAGATCCTTATTGGGCCGCGAAGCGTGCGAGGGCATTGCCGAGATGGGTGGGGCGGCCGCACGGGGGCTGTGCCAGAGGGACCTTCGGTGGAGCTCCCTCTATGGGGGCCACGGAACGCACGAGATCTGTGCCGAATGGGTGGGCGGCTGCATGCGGGCGATGCCACCACGAAGCGTGTGAGGAGTGTGCTGGAATGGGCGGGGGGCGCATGCAGACTTTGCCACACCGGCCTCTGGTGGAACTCTCCATGGGGCCACGAAGAGTGTGAGGGGTGTGCTGGGACGGGCGGGGGGCGCAGGCGAACTTTGCCAGACTTGCCTCTGGTGGAGCCCTCTATGGGGCCACGAAGCGTGTGAGGGTGTGCCGAAATGAGCGGGGGGGGGCATGCGAACGGTGCCGCAGGGGCTTTCGGTGGAGCTCCCCATGGGGCCACGAAGCGTGCGAGGGGTGTGCCGACAGGGGGCGGCGCCCACATGCGAACGGTGCCACTAGGGCCTGCGGTGGTGCCATCTATGGGGCCCCCGAAGCGTGTGCGGGGTTTGCCGACACGGGTGAGGCTTCCTCACGCGGGTTGTGCCAGTCGGACCGCCGGTGAAGCTCCTTATTGCGCCGCGAAGCGTGCGAAGGCATTGCCGAGATGGGAGGGGCGGCCGCACGCGGGCTGTGCCAGAGGGACCTTTGGTGGAGCTCCCTCGATGGGGCCACGGAACGCACGAGGGGTGTGCCAGATTGGTTGGGCGGCCGCATGCGGACGATGCCACTACGAAGCGTGCGAGGGGTGTGCTGGAATGGGCGGATGTGCTGCGATGAAGCGTGTGATGGGTGTGCCGAGAGGGGGCGACACCCACATGCGAACGGTCAGCCCGGGGCCCTCGGTGGAACTCCCTATGTGGCCACTGAACGTGTGAAGGGCGCACGGGGCCACGAAGCGTGTGAGGGGTGTGCCGACAAGGGTGTACCGCCCGCGTGCGAACAGTGTCACTGGGGCCTTCGGTGGAACTCTCTATGGGGCCACGATGCGTGTGAGGGGTGTGCGGATAAGGGTGCGACGCACGCATGCGAGCAGTGCCACTGGGACCTTCCGTGGAGCTCCCCATGGGGCCACGCAGCGCGCGAGGGGTGTGTGTGTGTGTGTGTGTGCGTGCGGAAAAAAGGGTGCGACGCCCACATGCGAACGGTGACACCCGGGCCTCTTGTGGGGCTCCCCTTTGGAGCCATGAAAACGCGCGTGAGGGGCGCGCCAAAAAGGGCGCGCCGCCCATCAGCGAACGGTGCCACTGGGGCCTTCGGTGGAGCTCCCTCTCGGGCCACGAGGCGGGTGCGGCGCGTGCCAGCGAAGGCGCAGCGCCCACGCGCCGGCGGTGCCACGGGGCGTCTCTCGGAGGAGCCCGCGCCTGGGGTCACGAGGCGCGCGAGAAGTGCACCGGGGTGGCTGACGCGCAGAGGGCAGGGGCAGGGACGGGAGGAGGAAGCAGGGGGAGAAGGAGGCGGAGAGGAGAGGAGAGGAGAGGAGAGGACGCGCGATGCGTTTTCAAAACCAGGCCCCAACACCACAGGACGCTTGGGAAAAGGTGACGAAGGAAAGAGAAGGGGGGGCAGGCTGTGCGTGGACTTCGGTCGCCATGGGTTCTCTTGCCTCTTGGGGCCTCCTGGAGCTTATTTGAAGCCTCGTGGGCTTGTCTATGAGCCATTTCGGGGCGTTTTGGGGTCTTCCGGGGTTGCCTGTTGGAGTTGTGGGGGTGGGGGAAGATTATTGGTCGTCCTGGCGGCTATTTGGCACTATATTATTATGGAGGCTATCTTGTTTTATCTCGGGATCGCTGTTGCGCACTCCAGACTCCAGCATGAGCCGAAACGCATACGAACCAACAGATATTTGAAAACGGGCGCGCGCACTTTACATGGTGGCGGGCGTGTGGGCCCAGATCCTGGATCTTCCTATTGCAATGTATCGTCCTCGTGATTGCACCTGGAAATGCCATTCATCGTCCTCCTTCTACTCCGCATCCGTCGCCGTGTGATAGTCTCTAAGGACGCCTGTGTACGCTCACACACAGACGCTCATGTTGAGGGCCGCCTGGCAAGCCGCCAACGACCCCAACCAGCAACATGCTGGCTTTGTGGAAGTCGGCTACACGCATGAGTGACCCAGGCAATCGTGTCCTTCGGTGCGCAGCTTTTTGAAGGCCGCGGGAAGACCAAACACAAGCGCGCAAAACGCTACTATCGCACCGCACTCGGCGATCGGGGAACCCCTGTGGGCGCGCACCAAAGTCACTCCGGCGACGGGTCACTCTTTCGTGTAGTCGAAGCAGGCTGTGTTGGCCCTGCCACTCTACGAGGTGGGGGCACCCCTGCGTACAGCCAGAACCCTGTCCAGGCCGAGGCGCAATCACGATGCGGACGCGCGCAAGTGCAGCAGCTGATTGGCGATCCGCTGGCCTGGCCAGCATCTGCATTTAGGTCGGGCATGTCCTCCGACAGGCGGACTGTGGAAGAACAACAAAACATAGTCAACAAAATATTCAAAACAAATCAGAAATAATCAAAGATCGTCCCACACTGTGATTTGACTATTTTTGGATATTCCTCCTGTAGGAGGACATGCCCGACTTAAATCTGCTTGACTGCTGTCCGGTCTCCATGCCCGTCAACATGGCGGTCCCGCACATCCCCTGCCCTGTTTTTCTGCAAGGCGAGGCCCTGGAAGTCCAGACCCTTGCCCCAGGGGCTGGTGCTTCTCCTCCCGCACCGTTGATGGGCGACCCCCGGGGCCCCTCTGGAGCTCCCGAGGGCCGAAAGCCTGCAGGAGCTGCAGTCGTGATGCGTCAGGACGCGGGCACGTCTGTCGTCCTCCTCCTCCTCCTCCTCGTCCTCCTCCTCCTCCTACTCCTCCTCGTCCTCCTCCTCGTCCTCCTCCTCGTCCTCCTCCTCCTCCTCCTCCTCCTCCTCCTCCTCCTCCTCGTCCTCCTCCTCGTCCTCCTCCTCCTCCTCCTCCTCCTCCTCCTCCTCCTCCTTGGGATCGGCGCCTCTCGTCCGAGCCGCTCCCGCGGCCGCACGCGGGGGGGGGGCAACCCGAGCGCGCTGCGCGGAAGGCGCCATCCCCAGCGGGCGCGGCGCCCTCGGCGAGGCCTCTCCGGGCCGCGCCGCGCGCGGACGGCTCAGAGCGGCGCCAGCGGGGGGCCACCTGGGCCAAGGGGGCCCCGCGGGGGCGGGGGGAGAGGCGGGAGCCCGGCGGGGCGAGGCCCGCCTCGGGAGGCAGCGCTCCTGGGAGGTGGTCGAGGCCAGCGAGCCCGACGGAGGGGCCCACGCAGACACTGGCCATCGCTCGGACGTCCATTCCCTGTTTTTTTTGTCGGTTTCGTGCGTGGTTTTTTCGCCAAGTGATCAAGGATGCTCCTCGATGGTCCTCGCCGAAGGAAAGATGCACACGTCCGAGCGATGCCAAGGACAGACCAGGCCGGATGGAGCCCGGCATCTCTAGCGGGATCCGGCGCGCCTGGACGAGACTGCTGGATCAGACCTGCTTCCGAGCACAGAGCTGCCAGCGCCGATGCTGAGCCTGACCTCTCAGGATTGGAATCCTGACTTGCCCATCGGATGTTGGGCTCTCGTCGCGCCCGGCGGGGGCAGCCAGGTCTCGACTCCCGCGCGAGCATAGTAGCACCAGCAAGTGTCTTCATCGCCCCCCGAACCGCGTTGCGATTTTTGGGCGTTGGGATTTGGGGGGGCGAAAAATCGTTCTAGGGCGGGCCTAGTCTGGGGCAGCTTCGAGATATCAACCTTCTGCTATCTGGCAGTCCAGTGCGCGCACCATGCGCACCCGTCGCGGGCCTCATCTCCTCCTCCTCCTCCTCCTCCTCCTCGTCTTTGCCCTCGTCCTCGTCCTCGTCCTCCTCCACCGCCAACACCTCCTCCTCCTCCTCCTCCTCGTCCTCCTCCTCCTCCTCCTCCTCCTCATCCTCCTCCTGTTCCTCCTCCTCCTCCTCCTCCTCCACCTCCTCCTCCCCCTCCTCCTCCTTTTCCTCCTCCTCCTGTTGATGGGGCCACCCTCACGTACCCCAACCCCACATCGAACCGGGTAGGTGAAGGATGAGGGGGGAAGGAATAGAAGGGGGATTGCGAAGGAGGATGGGGAGGAGGAGGAGGAGGAGGAGGAGGAGGAGGAGGAGGAGGAGGAGGAGGAGGAGGAGGGGAAGGAAAGGCAGGAGGAGGAGGAGGAGGAGGAGAGAAAGGAGGAGGAGGAGGAGGAGGAGGAGGAGGAGGAGGAGGAGGAGGAGGAGGAGGAGGAGGAGGAGGAGGAGGAGCATCGAGGATCGAGCTTTTCAAAAAACGATCGATCGGTCGCGCGTGAGCGCTCGTTGCTGCCCTCGGCCGGCCACGCCGGCGGAGCGCCGCACTCCGGGGAGCGGCGCGAGATCGCCGGCACGCGCGCGAGGCGCTGCGAGCGGTGACGAGTCGGGGGAGGCCCGTGCCGCGGCAGCACACCTCGAACAGCCCGCAGACGAACGCGAAGCCGCCCACGATGAACGGGCCGAAGACGCTCCACGCGTCCAGCCGGCGGGAGGCGCCCAACACGCCCCGCCGCTCCCCTAGAAGCTCTCTCCCACGGGAAGGAGGGGGGCACTGACCACCAGAAGAGGCGTACCCATCCAGCTCCCAACTAGGAGGTCTCAGCGGGACTGCCCCTCTGAAGAGGCGTGCTCACGCTGGCGGCAGCGGGCGCTCTGCGAAGTAGAACGACTCCCCGAAGAAGCAGGCGAAGCGCACCTCCGAGAAGCGCACCTGAACGATGAACCAGCAACCAAACGAACATCGAACACCACCTGCACCGGGAGGCCGAGGAGGAGCAGGGACTCCTGCTGCTCCAGGTGCAGCTGCCGCGGCAGCGAGCTCCCCCCCAAGGGTGGCGGGCGTCGAGACTCTGCGCCGCGGCGGCGGCACTGCGCCAAGCAGCGCCCGAACGCCGGTGCGCCCTCGGCGCGGTCGCCGCCGCGACGCCATCGGGGCCTGTGGCCGCCGTGCGCAGCGCTCGGGGCACCGCAGCAACCCGCGCAGGCCTCCGAGCCGTCGGCGCGGAGCGGCGCCACCTCGGCGTCGATGGCAGCCGCCTCCGCGGCCGCCTGCGCCAGGAGGTCCGCGTCGAGGGTGCAGCCAGCGACGAGGGCTTCGCCACGTGCGCCGGCGGCGACGTCCGCGGACGGCACAGCGGGGGCCTCCACCACTAGATCCTCGGCCGCAGGGGCCGTGCGCAGTGCCAGGGTGAGGTCGGGCGTGTCCCACTCCAGGCGGACTTCGGACGGGAGGGTGAACATACCCCACAGATATTCAAAAGTGATCTGAAATACTCGGGCAATCGTCCCCAGACTATGTTTTGCCTCTTTTCGAAAAAAACTCCTCCCGTAATTAGAGGGTCAGGCTCTACGGAATGCCAGAACCAGACCGCCGAGGCCCTGGCCGCGGTGGCCCCCGATGTCGGCGAACGCCTTCAGCAGCCCGCCCTTCGGCGCGGCTTCATTTCAACGGGCGAAGAACGGCATGATATAAACTTTTTCGCAGTCGGGGGCGCCTGTCCCAGGGCGGCTGGAAAGTTTACACCCTTACGGTGGCACCGTAGGGGTATAAACTTTCCAGCCGCCCAGGGACAGGCGCCCCCGGCAGCGAAAAAGTTTATTTTATACCGTTTCTCCCTCGCTGATCCTCGGGCGCGGCGCTCGGCGCGGGCCCGATTCGGCCAGCGAGGCTGCCGCGTCGGAGCAGGTCCCGTCGCCCACGGCCAAGGGGGCCAGGCGCGAGGAGGGGGGCGGCTCGCGACGAGCCTGCAGGATCGAGATGAGCTGGCGCGAGGATGCTGATGCTGATGCTGATGATGCTGAGGCTGATGATGCTGATGAGGATGAGGATGATGAGGATGACGATGATGATGATGGTTATGATGGTGATGATGATGGTGACGATGATGACGATGCTGATGATGACGATGATGATGATGCTGATGATGGTGATGATGATGATGATGCTGCTGATGCTGATGATGCTGATGATGATGATGGTGATGATGATGATGCTGATGATGTTGATGCCGATGATGATGCTCATAACATATGCGGACAGCTGGGCGTTAACGAAACGAGCCGCGCGGCTGCCATCGCCATGCGGTCCGTCAGGGCGCGGAGCGCATGGAAATCGTTGTGCTGGTGTGCGTGAAGAACTTCTTGGAGATGTCCGTGTTTCAGTTTGTGAATCTTCTCAAACGCGAGTAAGACTGGGTGGAGGTCCTTCGGACGCTTGCTCGGCACGACGACCAATACAATCGAATCTCTGGGAAAGCGGAGGTGCGCCCAGCGTAGAACACACTGTGAACCACTGTGGAAAGCAGTCGGCTTAGTGAGCTCAATCGTCCGCTGCAGAGCGGCCAAATCGGCACCGGTGAAGAGTTCCCTCATGCATCCTCGCACTGGTCGTCCACCTACCCATCCAAGTTTTCAGGCACCTGGTCGAGATGCGAACTCGAACCTTCCTCATCGTGGCAGCTAAGGAGTCGTAGTCGGTGGAGTCCGAATTGGGCAACGTGCAGCATTTCGGGAACAGCCACTCCTTCATCGTGGTGGTGGTGGAGCCTTTGGCCTTGGAGCTTGCGTCGGCTCGCTGCTACCATTTCCTCGTTGGGGCCTCCCACATCTCGTCTGCGACGTTGGGGCCCATGAGATACCCAAGGTAGGTCGGAGCCTTCGCGATGGCGAACTGGGCCCACTCGGGGGCGAGCGCCTGCAGACAACCCCCGACCGACTCGACCATCTGGAACGCGAGGGTGGCGTGGAGAGGGACATGTTGGCACCTTGTTGCATCTAGTTGAACGTGTTGGCAAACTCCCTCAACGTGCTGAGATCAAGGGTCGCAGCGCACCGCATCGCCCGCGTAGATGCGCGCGGTGCCAAACCCTTTGAGGACGACGGCGAGTCGCATCCTCTCTGCAAAAAGGCGCGTCGACACGGCGTGCACGAAACCGCTGAGAAGGCACCCCTGCAAAGAACCATCCTCGAATAAGTAAACAAACATACCAGAGCCGAAAGCCATGTTCAGGTATGGCATGCCCTGGGAGAACTAGAGGACACCGCGCGGCGCTTCGAGATCCAGCTGCGCTGCGAGCTGGGAAAAGCAGCAGCTATATCCCAGAAGGCTAGGACGGGCGTTCCATGTGCATTCGAAGGGTGGCCGTATGTCCAGGCCGCGCAGTCGAGGTCGACGACGTTCTGGGTCGGCTGGCGCCGAGCAACGGAGCCCCGATGGATGGAGGAGACGCCCTTGGACGCGACGTCCCGCGACAGAACGTTGACTGTGCCGCAGCAAATCTTCTGATCGGCGCATGCGAAGCTCGATGGTCTGGTATCCTCTGGCGTCCCGACAGTCTCCGCGACGTCGCCTGGCCGGAGGCCTCTCGAGAGGAAGGCGGACTCGGACCCGTGGCAGGTGAGCGGCATCGGGGGGCCGGCGAGCCTGTAGAGCGCGACTTGGAGCAGTGTCCACGCGCCCCAGGTCGCCTGCGTGCAGCCAGCAGGAGATGGCGGGGCCGTCGGGACGAGGGCTCGAAGCGGTCGCGTGCTCGAGGCGCCTCCTGCTGAGGCAGGGTGGGGGGCGCCAGCACCGAGCTCCCGTCGTGACGAACGAACAACACACACACACACCCATACCCATAGGGTGGTCGTTGGGAGGAGGACTGGCTGTGGGTATGGGTGCGGGTTGTCGGACCCTGGGGAACGCCCCCGCTCGAACGGGGACCCCCATCCGACAACACGCACCCATAGCCCTCTCCGACCCCCTTATGGGTATGGGTGTGTGTTGTTGGTTCGTCAAGTCGCGTGAGACGGCCCAGCGCAGAAGGAACTCCGCGGTGAAAGAGGCGTCGGTCAACTGCTTGCGGAAGTGCGGAGCCCAGGTGCCGGCAACTGCATTGGCCTGGCCCTTTGGGCGGCCAATGGGCAGATCGCCGCCAAGCAGGTTCGGAGTCAGAAGGCGCCAGAAACTAGCTTCTTAGGGAACGGGAGGTGTAATTTGGCTTTGCTCTTGATGACGCGTGCCCGGGAGCGGAGTTTCTTGGCGATCGAGAGAGAAGCTCGTGCCGCGGCATCTTGTCCCAGACGGTCGGCTTCAGCGGCGGCGTTGGCGGCAGCGATCTCGTCGAAATCATCGGCGAAGCCTTGAGGATCGCGCAGGGTGACCAGGCCCACCCGTCGGCCGCAACAAAGTGGCGGCCCTTCGCAAAGTTGGTGAGGACTGCGTTGGCAAGAGCGCAATCGTCGTGCCAACTTTAAGCTTCAGGGTCATACATGGTGAAGAAGTCTCAGGCGAAACGCCCGGTCCGTCCTTGCGACTGGCCTCGGCGGGCTACAGGGAGGAGTTGTTCATTAGGGAAAAAGTTAAAGAAAAGGAGTGAAGGAGGGGGAGGAGTAGGAGAACGAGGAGAAGGAGGAGGGGAAGTGCCGGAGAGGGGAGGGAGGGGGAGGAGGACAAATGGGAGGTACGGGGTAGGCAGAGGAGTGGGAGGGGAGGGGAGGGGAGGAGGAGGAACAAAAAGGATGGAAGGGGAGGAAGAAGGAGGAGGAAGACGAGGAGGGAGAACGTCGGGGCCGTTGGCCCGCCCCGATTGGCCACAACCGCACCTCCCATTGCCGCTCGATGGGTCTGCTCGGGCATCTCAGCCTGATGTTCACGCGAGAAGCAAGGACCGCCCATCGGGCGCTGGCAGAACTGGGTTTAGTGGAACCTGGTTTAGTGTTGTGTAGTGGGGGACGCCCCCCCGCCCCGTTCCACTAACCGGAATGCTGTCACCCGACAAAAACACCAGCTACGGCAGTCCTGGTTTAGTGATTCTGGCAAATTCGAGGGCTCCAGGGCCCTACCACTAAGCGGGTCCCCTTACCTGGGGTCCTGGCGATATACGCGAGCCAGATGCACCAGGTGCAACGAACACGTCACATCATAGCACACGCTGCGCGCCGCAAACATCGCTCAAAATTTATATCCCGCTTCGCCTCAACTGGACCTGGAAGCTCCTCGCCTCAAGGGTCCGTCAGTCGCGCTGGGAGAAGCCCCGGACAAGCCTCCTAAAAGGCGTTTTAACATCGTTGAGTGCCCTTTCGGTGAGCTTCTGTGGTTCTTGGGGGTGGCATCTTTGGAAGTCTCTCGGGGGCCTTCCTTGAGGCATCTTAAAACGGAATTTAGAACATGTCTGACATGGAAAATCGGGGATGTCTTGGGCTGGTTTTCGGCTACTTTGGCGCATTGGACCTGTCTTGCGCTGTCCTAGGGTTTCGGGCGGTTGGCAGTGGGGGGTGACCCAAATGGGGGGTGAAGATTAAGGCCCTCAAGGGGCCCTTTAGGGCCTCTTTTGGATAACAACTGGCTCCAGAAGGGGCCCGGGAGGGCCCCTGTAGGGCCCTTTTGTTCACTCACCATGTGGGTCACCCCCCATTACCACCCGCCCGACTGTTCTCGCCCCTGGCTTCCGGCAGGCCCTCTATCCAACCGTCTGACCAAACCCGGCCCCCTCGTCCAGGAGCCCCAACCCCGTCGTCCCCTGGCTTCCCTGGACCCGCGCCCGAGCCACTTCGCCCACTGCGGGGCCCCCTGCCCGGCTGTCCCAGCGGCTCTCCGAAGTCCTGCCCCACTCTCCACCTGTGGTTCTGTGATGGCTGGCACGCACGCCACGTGCTGCTCACACAAACTGTGCCTGTCACGCGTTGCGGCCCTCTTGGCGGTTCTCGATTGGTCGCGAAGCAGGCGCTGGCGCTGGCGCGGTGGCGGGACGTGCAGCAGGCACACGGATACGCTTCGAACGGAAGTGTTCAGAGATCGCTGCGCTTGCACTGCCTCGCATTCCCTCTTCCTTACGTTTTCATCCTCTGCCCATCTCGCTAGGGCGTAGGTGGTTTAGGGTGTTTCCTCTTCCACCCCCTTCTTCACCTTCGGGGAAGAGTTCCCCCCTCCCCCCTACCCCCCCCTGGACCTGGAGGGGGCGTTCCGCGGGTCGCCGGAGCGTTCAAGACGGACTCGGCGAGGAAGCCAAAATCATTTGACTTACCAGGGTTTGGGCCCCATGTTAGCCTTTTGGGAGGGCTTCGCTAGTTAAGACCCCCCCTTTCTTTGGATCGATCTCCTCCGCGATGGCCCCAAGAGCGCCCCCAAGGCTCCCAAGGGTGCCCCAAGAGGGCCCCAAGAGGTGGCCAGGAGGCCCCAAGAGGTCCCCAAGAGGCCCAAAGGATGCCCCCAAGAGGCTCCCAAGAGACCCCCAAGAGGCCCCAAGAGGCCCCCCTGAGGCACCCAAGACGCTCCAAGAGGCCTCGGCGAGAATGCCAAAATCATTGATTTTACAATAAGGTTTTGGTCACATTTTGGCCTCCTGGGGGGGGGCACTGCTTGAGATGACTCCAATAGCGCCTGGGAGAGCCCAAGATGACCTCCAAGATGGCTCAAGATATCCCAAGATGCCTCAAGATGGCTCCCACGATGCTCCAAGAGGCCCCGAGACCGCTCCAAGCCCGCTCCAAGTGGCCAGAGAGCTCCTCCAGGAGGCCCCGAAGAGACCAAAATCCTTCCAAAACCTTAGGATAATCAATGTTTTTGGCTTTCCTCGCCTTTTCGCTTCCGATGGCCATCCGAGGCTTCAAGATGGCTCCAAGACGGCCCAAGAGGGCTCCAAGAGCGCTCCCCAGGCTCCCAAGAGCGCTTCAAGAAGGCCGGCCCCAAAACGACCCAACAGGCCCCAAGACGGCCCTAGAGGCCTCCCAGACGGCCCCAGAGGCCGCCGAGGCGGCTTCGAAGCGATGCCCACAAGGGGGCCCGAACGAACATTTCGAGCCCTCGGCCCCAAGAAGCTCCCAGGATGCCCCAAAATGCTCCCGAGAGGCCCCCACGAGGCCTCAAGAGGCCCCCAGGAAACCCGAACGGACTCCCAGGCGGCTCCCAAGAGGCTCCCAAGATGCCCCCAAGAGGCCCCAAAACTACCGCCCCGATGCCTACGAGCGCGCTCCGACGAGGCCCCACGAAGCATCCCTGAAGACTCTCCCCAACGTCAGCGTCGCCGCCGCCGCCGCCGCCGCCGTCGCCGCCGCCGCCGAAGTCGTCGTCGTCGTCGTCGTCGTCGTCGTCGTCGTCGTCGTCGTCGTCGTCGTCGTCGTCGTCGTCGTCGTCGTCGTCGTCGTCATCGTCATTATCGTCGTCGTCGTTGTCGACGCCGTCGTCGTCCCCCTTCAGGGTCGGCGGCTCCGGTCGTAAGGCCTTGCCAGTATAGAACCAGGCCTACTTGGGCGAATCGGCCAAAAAGGCATCGCACCACTCTCACAGAGAGAGGGAAAGGCGAATCATCTCACGGGAACGCAATCGCGGCATTGAGGCCACAATGTTGAGCCCCGTCGAAACCCTACTGTTGGGGTGCGCCCGAGAGAACACAATGCTGAAATCACGATCTTCACCCCATGCCTCTGACACCGAGAAGTTCCTGCGTCGTGAAGTTGTCACGAAGCGGTCCCTCAGAATTCAAGAAATCGTACTTGAACATATGTTTCAAACTGCTGCAACACGAAAGCAGGATTACGAATCCCAGGAACAACACCCACGCAACCAAATCCAAGTAAACCTCTTGGAAAAGGTGGTTTAGCGGATCAACCCGTTCATCCACATGGGTCTTTCGGGGAAGGATGTACCGCTACTACCAGTTTTCATATCTCCTCCCCGGATCTGGACGTGTTTGTGCGTGTGTGTGCATACCTATATATATATATATATGTGCATATATATATATGTATGTGTGATGTGTGTGTGTGCACGTGTGTGCGTGTTGCGTGTATGTGTGTGTGTGTGTGTGTGCGTTGTGCGTGTGCATGTGCGTGTGCGTGTGCGTGTGCGTGTGCGTGTGCGTGCGTGTGCGCGTGTGCGTGCGTGTGCGCGTGCGCGTGCGCGTGCGCGTGCGCGTGCGCGTGCGCGTGCGCGTGCGCGTGCGCGTGCGCGTGCGCGTGCGCTTGCGCGCGTGCGTGCGTGCGCGTGCGTGTGTGTGTGTGTGTGTGTGTGTGTGTGTGCGTGCGTGCGTGCGTGCGTGAGTTCGTGCGTGCGTGGTTGTGTGCGTGTGTGTGTGTGCGTGGGTGTGTGTATGTGTGCATGTGTGTATGTGTGTATGTGTGTGTATGTGTGTATGTGTGTGTGTGTGTCTGTGTGTGTCTGTGTGTGTGTGTGTGTGTGTGTGTGTGTGTGTGTGTGTGTGTGTGTGTGTGTGTGTGTGTGTGTGTGTGTGTGTGTGTGTGTGTGTGTGTGGGGGGGGGGCGGTGGGGCGATCAGAGCATCCGGAATCATCTTAAAGAGATGGTACCACAGATGCAACAGATATATGCTGTTCAGTGGTGTATGCCTTCTCGCCGCCTTGTCGCTTCCGATGGACTCCAAGCCTGAGGCCCCGAGATGGCCCCCCATGTTGCCCATAAGAGCATCGAAAGGGTCCAGCATAGCACCAAGATGACCGCAAAGGCCTCCAAGCGCACCCCAAACGACCCCCCTAGAGGGTCTCATGAGACGAATGGTCGGGCTCCGACTGGGGAACGTGGATCATCGAGGACCCATCCATTGTTGGATCGATGGTCCCTGGATCGACCTTGGAGAGTCCGAAGGCCCCCTGCACGGCCCCCAGAGAGCCCCAAGATGGCCCCAAAAGGCCTCGGGGAACAACAATCCGAAAAAGGCCGCAGAGTCCCCAGATTGGATGTTGCTGGCGGCTGCTTGGGCGGACCCAAACTTCGGTTGAATCATCCGGCGCGAGCGCTGAAACGGTACTCATGGCTGGCTCGGGGATCTGCCGAGGCTGACCCTGAGCTTCGGCTTGACGGCCGCGCCCCCTCTTTGTTTCACGATGTGGCCCTACTCTGCCCAGCCCAAGGTACCTCACCCAGGGATCGGTTGTGGACGGGCTGGCGGGGATACGCAGAGCGTTAAGAACTGCATGCAAAAACGCCTGCCCGTCGAGATTTGTATGCGACTTCTGTAAGTCTGGGCGCCCGAGGCGGTCCAGGAAGTCCGGCAGGATTGGGGCCCCAATGCATTCTCAAGCTTCGCTCCAGAGCCTTTGGGTCAAATCCGCGCGCAGTCCTGCGCCGTTGTGCGCATGGGACGGTGATCCTTTGGACACTGACGCAGGAAAGAGGCGGCAAGATCTCCGGACGACATGGCATTCGGAAACGAAATTGCCCCCGAGGTGGTCCCTGCCCGCTGGCCCGACAGCCGCACCACCCGCGCGCCAATGCCGGTCGTAGGCGGCGGCCGCTGGCGCTGGCGCCACGAGCCCCGCGTGCACCGCCATCGGCGCCCTCGCAGGACTCTCCGCCTGTCACCGCCGCCGCTGCAGCGCAGGTCGCCGCCGCTGCCTGCTGACGCCGTGGTGCCGATCGCGGGTGGCGGTCGCGGACGTCGGCGGCACGAGGCACGCGGGCAGCGCCATCGGCGCCGTCGGGGGAAGCGTCTCTGCCTGTCGCCGCCGCAGCTGCTGCAGGGTGCGGAGAGGAGCCGCAGCTGCCCGCGTCTCCCCTGCTCTCCAGGGATCGCGTCACCGTGACGAGCGCGGCAGAAGCAATGAGTGGCCACGGCAAGCCTCGGACACGAACAGGTTCCCCGACCCAGATCTGGGGAGCGGTCAGAGACCCAGGGCCCCGTCCTGAACCGAGAGTGGTCCCCGTCTCATTGTCCTGACCGCAAGGCGAGGGCCCGCCGAGGCAGCATCGGGCACGGGTCTCCGAGAGCTGGCGGGCCCAAAGGGACGCAGCGCGCGCCGCGGCCGCCTCAAAAGCGCCCTGGAACACCCTGGAGCGATTTGTCCCGCCATTGCAGGCTCCTGGCGGAGGCCACACCAACAAGGCTCCTGTTCCGCGCGGCCCAGAAAAAGCCAGGGCGGGGGGGGAAGGAGGAGAAGGAGGAGGAGGAGGAGAAGGATGATGATGAGGAGGAAGAACGAGGAGGAGGAGGAGGAAGGGAAGGAGGGGGAGGAGGGGGAGGAGGTGCAGACAGGGGAGGTTTCCGAGAAGCCTTGGGGGCAGCCTTTGCCTACCTGACCAGAGCCTACTAACGACAGATGGCCTCAAGAGGCCGAGTGTGAGCTACTATGTACACTCAGGCTCCACAGGAGCCCCTGTTTAGGTAGGTCTGCGTTTCACGGCGTATCGTGTTTCCTACTCTCTATTTGCAGCTTAGCCATGCCTAATGATCTCCCCGAGGGCCCCTGAAGAGCCCCAAGACCCAGGGGCTCATTAGAAGCGCTTCACAAATGTCCAATACGTTTCTGCCGAAAACGTCTTGGCTCAAGCCTTGCAGCGACTCAGGTCGCTGGACTTCTGGTGTGCGCCTTCGAGGCGCAAGATTGCGAGCTGGCCCGCAACAGTAAACAGCTCCCTTCTATTACCATCGCGCGATCAGCCTCGCGCTTCCCACTGCCCGTACTTCCACGACATTACGATCGAGAGTTGGCAGCACATCGACAGGAGAGCAGAGGAGAGCAAGATCCATGGATTCAGCAAGGGGCAGTGGTTCTAGCGGGACCATTGCATGGTAGCGGAGCTTTAAGCTCCACGGACGACGGATTTACGGACCACAGTATTCCAAAGAGCCATGGCGAAGCCTAACCATGGCGACGACATCGTACCCAAATGGAATGGAGACCTCACCACGGTAGACGACTACGAGAGAGACGTCAAACCTATATCAGAGGGACCCGTCGCGATGGAAGATATGTCTGCAACCCAGACTATGGCGACGACTGGAGGGACGAGATAGACAGGCCGCCAAGGACGTTGACTGGGATCGCATCTAGAGAGACGACGGCGTCACAGAGTTGCTCAGACACGTTCGTGCTAAGCTCGGTGCTCAGCCCATCCAGGACGCAAGCAAAACCTAGCCAGATGGATCTTCAACCTTCGACGCGACAACTGGGAGCCGATGCCGAGCTACATTAGTAGAGATGACGAAGCCCATCACGACGTTGTCGAGGGCTTTGTCACTGAATATTTCAAGAGGCAGAGACATCAGCGGCTCTCCCAGAGGGCCGAGGACCGGAACTCACTCTACACAGATCTGAGCTGGCTCCTCTACAAGGTCGAGCCCGAGGGCCCCGAGGATGCCGCCGAGAAGGCCAGGGAGCTGAATTACAAGCTCTGCGAGTTTATCCAGACGGGTCTTGAGGAGATCCCAGAGCATCCTGATTTCGGAACTGATCTCAATCAAGCGATTCCTCTGGACCAACTGCGAGGATGGTTGCTACTGCAGAGATCCCGACTGTCCCCGACCGAACGACCAGCGGTGATTAGCGCAGTGACTGTTAACTTCGACTGCGACAACATCGGAGAGCAGCTGCGAGTATCCTGGCCAGACGACGAGCTGACGAATCGCGACAAGAAGCATGGCAAGGATCACCGTCACCGAGAGCGTGGCAGGATCCATGCCGATGACGAGATCGAGGACGGCTACGGATACCACGACGAGTCGGAAGCCTCCTACGACACCCAGCCTGAGGGGGACACCAAGGATCCCGAGGAGCCCCTCTACAGCGCCCAGGAGATAGAGGAGGCGGAGACTGTCTTCGCCGCGCAGCAGAGGAGCTTCGAGGAAGCTCGGGACCTCCTACGACGAGTGAAGACAGCAAGGAAGTTCTACCCAGTGGATGAGGAAAAAAAGCGCACGCCACACGACAAGAAGTCCCACGGACCACGGACAGCGTCAAGAGGCTCTGAATCTTCCAAATGAAGGGCGCGAGGCGACGGACAACGACGTGATCGACCAAGCTCTAGGAGCAGCGACCGCCCCTGTCCAACCAGGAAGGGCCCGTGCTTGAAGTGCGGCGGCAATCATGAGACGAAGGACCAGAAGGACCGCGCTTCATCAAATGTCAGTCGCGGAGATTGTGACCGCCCGAAGAAGGGTCAGAGTAAATTCGTCTTCTCCGGCACATTTCCAGAAGCGGAGAGGCAGCCCGACGAGCCGACCTACGAGCTGGAGCTGGCACCTCGTCCTGTGACCGCGCCCATCTGGGCGACCTTGCAGCAGGGAGAAGAGCGGATGCTGATGAGTGTGAAGCAGTCCGCCTCGAAGTGTTTCGGCATCCTGGACATCGGCGCCACCTCCAGCATCAATGGCATCGAGGCTGCTGAGAAGCTACGGGACATTATCTACGAACAGGCGGGCAACAGCATCAAGATGGACGTGGATGGACGTCAGCCGAACGACGACCTTCCTTTTCGGCGACGGTAACTCCGAGACCTGCACCGGCCGTGCGACCGTTCCCCTGACGATCGCCGGTGCGGAGGGCGAGCTCGAGATCAGCATACTCGACGCGGATGCATCACTCCTCATTGGAGTTGACGTCTTGAGCCGCCTGGGAGCTGTGATCGATTGCGGGGCACACGCCGTTTTCTTTAAGAAGCTCGGACGCCGAGCAAAGCTCCTCGCCCTTCCGAGCGAACACCTTGCGCTGCCCCTTGTATCGCAAGCCGACGTTGGCTTCGTGGCCACCCTGAGCTTGGGGTGCGCGCCCTCGACACCCGAGACTGCTACGGTGCCGTAGGAAAAAGGTGATGACGAGCAGCCGATCGATTGCGAACTCCCAGATTCCCCTGCAGATGACTCCCGGAAGCTCTCTGATGCGACCCCTACCAGAGAAGCCCCGCAGGGCCAAAGGACATCACCATTACCTACTGAAGCGGGGACATCTGCATTACCTACTGCAACGGGGACATCATCATTACCTACTGCAACGGGGACATCATCGTTACTTACCGCAACGGAGACATCATCATTACTCAGAGCCACGGGTACGTTATCACTACCTACGCCTACTCCTACGTCAAAGGCATACCTAACACGTACTCCGACCTCATCCTATATGACATCATTTGGTCATACCCCTGAGGTCCTCCTCGAGATCCCCACGTTCCCAGAGCCTCAGGTCCCTGCACCATCATCCTCCATAGCCAATTTTGGCGCGAACGATTCCAGCGAGGAGCCTGGTCCCCAGCGGCTTCCATATCTTCCATACTCGCATGAACCTCAATCGCGAGGCGAAATGCCGCAAAGCAGAGAGCCAGCACGTGAAGCTGGGAGAACGAGGAGATGGAGCAGTGGGCGTGGGAGAAGCTACCACTGGCGGGCTCGGAGAGGGACAAGGATATGAAGAGGTTGACGGAGACCTTCCTACTGGAGCACCGGCCTCTTTGGGAGATGTGGGTATGCAAGATGCTGCTGTCATGGACTACGTCGAGGCGCTGGACGCGACTAGTGCTGAAGACGTTCCTGAGGACAGTCCATCACGAGAAGTGGAAGCTGGACAGTCACGGCCTACCGGTGCAGCTTCTGTCCACCAAGTTCCCGACCTGGCCAGCGGAGCTTGGACATCACGAGAAGCTCGAGATGCGCCGCCCGTGCCAACAGTCAAGTCGTCAGCCTCAGCAGCGAAGATCCAGCAGAACAGAGCGCTGCGCGATACCATCGAGAGCGCAAAGTCAGAGTTCTTGACCCAGCATGCGGAGGTGTCTGCGTTTGCGAAGCTCAGCTCGGAGCAGATCCTCGAGCAGCTCAACATGGCCACGGTGCTCAATCACCTGTGGTCCCTGTGCAAGAGCTGGGGACTGGTCCAGGCGGGGAAGAAGGAGGAGGTGATCGACAGGATCATCGCGTACATCATCGAGCAGCAGGGGACGGCAGCCCCGACGACCAAGATCAAGAAGGAGGTGGAGATCAAGAAGATGGAGACGGCACCCACCATCGTGGGGCCAGCCATCGCCGCCCACTACACTCATGACTGTCAGCATCCGCGCTGCCAGCTGAAGAGGGGTATTGCGAAGAACGAACCGATTCTGAAGATGAAGCCGTACGGATGATGCCACAAGACATGTGCGATCACAAAGGCCTGAGCGACATCCGGGACGAGCGAGCACGCTGGCTTAGTGACGAGAGCCGCCCTCTCAAGGGCCATCAGCGTCAGGCCATTCGGGCGGTCACCCAATCGACCAGGTCGGCTCTGTTCGGAGCCATGTGCTCATTGGCAACCTTCGGCCGCATGACGATGGTCGAAGCCTGCACTCGCGAGGACTCGAACCTGGGTCAGGTGTGCTACGAGAGAGGCTACCACTTCGAACGGCTTGGCCTCTTCAACGACTACGAGATCAGCAAGCCGCAGGGCTACCACAAGGCGAAGTTTTTGCTCAACGAGAAGAGCCTGAAGATCCTCGTCAGTACCCCGCCCTGCGGACAGTGGTCAATCATGCAGAAAATCAACCAGCGCAACGAGCAGCAGAAGGAGAACCTTCGCAAGAAGCGGGTGAAGAGCCATCGCATCTTCGAGAACAACAAGCGTCTCACCGAGCATCAGGTGCTCAACTTGCATGGCTCAGCTCTCGCCGAACAGCCTCACAACAGTCGCTCGTGGCAGAAGACCTGCTGGAGGGAATTACACAAGATACTGCCCTACGAGGTCATTGTGGACGGCTGTGCGTGTGGACTGCGAGCTCCAGACACGGGAGAGCTCATGAAGAAGCGCTGGAAGCTCCTGACGAACGACAAGAGGATCTGGGTTGCTCTCCAGCCCTTGCAGTGCCGTGGAGACCACTACCACGAGGAGATCGAGAGCAGCCTGCGCATCGAGGCGTATGGCGCCTATCCCAAGATGCTGTGTCGCAGGATCCTCCGAGCTCTGACCAAGAGCCAGAATACCAACTACTTCGAGGACGAGGTTGTGCGCTGTCACTGCCTGGCAGCAATTCAGCAGCCACCTATGGAGCCGGCGCTGGTGGAAGACGAGACAGACCTACCTTGACAGGACGGCGAAGAGAGCCACCTCACCAAGGATACGATTCAGAAGCTCGAGAGCTACGTCAGGCTGGTACACACCAACCTTGGACATTTTCCTAGAGCTCATCTGCTACGCTATCTTCGAGACCGAGGCGCACGACCAGAGGAGCGACGGTTGGCAAGGAATTTCAAGTGCGACATCTGCGATGCTCACCGACCTCCGTCGAAGCGACCACCTGCGTCATCAGCAGAGCAGCCTCAGAACGGTCACGAAGCACTCTTTGACGCATTCTCATGGGTCCGACGGGGCACGAGCACGAATGTCATGGCTCTGGCGATCCTCGACGCCGGCTCCGACATGCTCTACGTGAGGCTGATCGATGAGAAGAAGATTCCTGGACAGACTCGCCAGGTACGGGCCAGAGATCTACGACAGATTTTCACTACGAGAGGGTTTCCATGGATTGGACGCCCAAAGATTATGCGCTACGACCCTGCGGGAAGCGCCACATCCGACGAGTTTAAAGAGTGGGTCGAGAGCCTGGGCATTTACTGTCTGCCCTGTGCGGCCGACGCCCACAGGCAGATCGGCAAGATCGAGCGAGCTATTGAAGCTTTCAAGGAAGCACTGGACGCGTTCGACGAGATGGTGTCCGCCGAAATGCCGACTACCGAGATGATTGGCTTACAGGTGGCCGCGAGGAACGACCTGATCAGGATCGACGGCTTCACCGCCCTTCAACGTTATGCAGGACGGACTCCGACTGGGACCACCGTCAACCCGTCCGACGAGCCACGCGACTTACCTCTCATCAGTGCTGAACTAGAGGACGGTGCCTTCAGCCGAGACGCCCAGGTACGACGACTCTCGCGGCTGGCCCACATCCAGACGTCAGACCGAGTCAAGCGAGCGGAGGCCGCGAGGTTCAGGTCCTTCAATGAGTACGAGACAGGCGACCTGGTCTTCGTATACCGGCGGCTGCCACCTGGAGCCTGGCGAAAGAAAACACAGGGACCCTGGGCCATCGACGACGACTACGATCTACCCGTTTCCCAGGGAGCACCACGGAGCCTCGGGCCAAGTGGTGGCGGAGGCAGCGTACTACCCTCAGCACAACCTGAGCTTGGAGGACCTCCTGTACCTGGACCGAGACCTCCCAGGAGGATGCGACGCAAGGGAGATCCTTGGCTCGATGCGACTGCTGACCCTGACCCTGCCATCCAGATGCTCCACCAGGCCTACAGCAGCCTGGCGGTGAACCTACCGAACTACCTCACGGAGACGCCGAACCACCAGCTGAGGTCATCATGGAGGCGCCTCCGAGCGACGACCACAAGGACCTAGCTACCCAACATCCGATTGACGTGGATACGGACGCATATGAGCTGGAGGAAGCTACGGCACCTGATGAAAACAACAAGCACCATCGGCAAGCCCCAGGATCGCCCGAGCCAACCATCAAGAAGCAGCGGGTCGCCATTGCTACCCAAGAGGCCTTCTCCGACTACCTGCAGGAGGGCAAATTTCTATGGGGACCATGCGTACAGCGTACAGCAGCACAACGAGGCCAAGGAGGACGACGAGCTCATCATGCTGGAGATCCCCATCATCAACGAGCTTGCGCTGATGGCCTACATGGACGACCCCAGCAACTACGTTGCATCCCAGACCCGCAAGGGCCGAGTCGAGGTATCCTTCAAGAAGGCGACCCCCGACGAAAAGAAGCTGCTCCTCGAGGCCCAGCAGAAGGAATGCTCATCAGCTCTCAGCACTAAGGCGGTCAGGATCCTGAGCAAACAAGGAGTCGACCCGGCACGCCTACTACGTTGCCGCTTCGTTCTGACCTGGAAGAAGGGTGAGCAGGGCAACGTCCTCAGGGGCAAGGCACGCCTGGTTGTGCTTGGCTTCCGCGACCCCGACCTGCTACACTTACGGACGGAGTCTCCCGTCGCCTCCCGACGGGCACGTCAACTTCTACTGGCCATGGCAGCTAGACACAAGTGGAAGCTGGAGAAGGCGGTCGCAGTGACAGCCCTCCTCCAGGGAGAAACCGACGAGGAAAAGAGGAAGATCTATGCGGACCCGCCGAAAGATGTCCGCCCGGCCTTCGGCATGCGCGACGACCAGGTCCTACAATTCCTCAAGCCGATGTACGGCTTCGTACATGCTCCTCGCGCTTAGTGGGCCCCCGAAACGGCAGGGCTGTTTTTTCACCGTTTTCAAAGAAGTGTCCCTTGAAAATGGAAAAGGCAAAAAAACGGACCCCGGGAACGGCAACAAAAACGGCTCCAGGATTGGAACCGGAGCCGGAACCAGTCAAAAACTGGTGACGGAACCGGTAAAAAAACGGCGTCAGATCCGGCAACGAAAGGGCAAAACGGAAGCGGTTAAAAAACTGTCCTGTCGTTTCCAGGGCCCAAGAAGTCCTCGCGAATGGTGGCTCCACTTTAAGGACACGCTCAAGAAGCTCGAACTGGAGGTTGTCCAATGCGAGCCCTGTGTCTGGGTCATCCGCGACGGCCTAAAGCTGGTCGGCATGGTGATCCTACACGTGGATGATATGATGATCGCTGGTGACCACACGAGCCTGGCCTTCCTTAAGAAGCGCACCGACATCTAGAAGGCGTTCGAGTGGACGCCCTGGGAGAGCCGAGCTTTCGTACAGTGTGGCATCAATCTCAGACAGAATGGCGATGTTACTTGCAACATCGCTCAGGACAACTACAGTCTGAACGTGGAGCCCATCAGGATAAGGCGTGGCCGAAAACCTACAGAGGGAGCTTCGGACAAAGAGCGATCTGATCTACGAGGCCGACTTGGCACCGTAGGATGGCGTGCACTGCAATCGGCCCGATGGCTCAATGCAGAAGTATCCTTGCTCCAGTCCAAGATTCCCACGGCCACGGTCTCGACCATCCAAAAGATCAACAAGCTCATCCGCACCGTGAACGACACCGCCGATGGCCACGCTCATCCCGGCTGTCGACCAGATTGCCGTGGTCGGCTGGGGCGACGCAGTCTGGGCAGCGCGGGTTACTGGCGAATCTCAGGGCGGTGAGATCGTGGTGCTGGCCCCGCTGCGTTTCCTCAGCGGCTCTACGGAGACGGTGGCACCTGTATCATGGAGATCCTGCAGGCTGCCACGCGTGGCCAGACGAGGTACCGGTGCGGAAGTGCAGATGATGACCGAGATCCTCGACGCAATCAATTACGTCCGACGTCTCATCTACGAGCTAGAGTGCGGCCCGGTGGACTACACCTCAAAGAGACACGTGAACGACGCCATCTCAGCCTGCCCTGGCGTCCTTGTCACAGACGGGAAGTCGGGGCATGACGCGATCGAAAAGAATGAGCCAGCTGGCCTCGAACTACGTGACAAACGTACGAGTATCGAGTGTCTTGGTATTCGATCACAGAAGGAGCAGACGGCCCTTCAGATACGCTGGGTGCACAGCGATGCTATGCTAGCGGACGGACTGACGAAAGATCGACCTGCCACGGTCTGAATCGAGTTTTCCAGATCAGAACAACGCTGGAGATTGGTGGACGACCCCTCCATCGCAGTGCCAGGAAACGCAAGGCCGCGGGCATCGACAGGCCCGATCATGGCAAGCCACTACCCGACGAAGATGAAGATGCAGTCCTGGAGGCTTTAATCTACTTCGCCCGCGACAATCCCAACGAGCAGCACTACCCTGCCAGAGACATAGCCCTATGGGGCACGGTGAGACCGCTCCCACGCTCTGTGCTTTCTGTGAATTCAGGAGTCGGCAGCAGGGATGCCGACACATCGATATTTAAATTTTGGGCATGCAACTCACAGCCCAGAGCCTGCCTGACCAGAGCCTACTTACGACAGGCGGCCTCTAGAGGCCGAGTGTGAGCTACTATGTACACTCAGGCTCCACAGGAACCCTATTGTATGTAAGTCTGCGATTCACGGCGTATCGTGCGTCCTGCTCTATATTTGCAATCTAGCCATGCTTAATGGCCTCCCCGAGGGCCCCTGAAGAACCCCAAGCACCAGGGGCTCATTATAAGCGTGTCACACGATTCCGAAGCGTTTCCGCCGAAACCGTCTTGGCTCAAGCCTTGCAGCGACACAGGTCGCTGGACTTCTGGTGTGCTTCTCCGAGGCGCAAGATTGCGAGCTGGCCCGCAACAGTAAACAGCTCCCCTCATCACCATCGCGCGAGCAGCCTCGCGCTTCCAACTGCCCGTGCTTCCAAGACGTTACCATCGAGAGTGACCGGCGCATCGACAGGAGAACAGAGGAAAGCAGTCTCCAAGGATTCAGCAGAGGGCAGCGGTTCTGACGGGACCATTGCATGGTAGCGGAGCAGCAAGCTCCACGGACGACGGATTCACGGACTATACATTCACTCAAACTCACCAAGACATGCCAAAAAAATGCTCATCAAGTGGCAACACATCGTCCCCATATCATCTTCTTACTGTTTTTGAATACTCCCCCTGTGGATGGGGCAGGCCCGATGTAGCGCTGTCTAGCGGGACCACTGCACCCGTGGGGGTGCAGTGGTCCCAGCGGCGCGTCCTCCTCCTCCTCCTCCTCCTCCTCCTCCTCCTCCCCCCTCCTCCCTCCTCCTCCTCCTCCCTCCCTCCCTCCCTCCCTCCCTGCCTCCCTCCCTCCTCCTCCTCCTTCTCCTCCTCCTGCCCCTCTCGCGGCCCTCATGCGGGATCCCGCCCAGGACGCCGAGGCGCGGAGCTCCTCCGAGCGAGGCGGGCCGAGCCCGCACGCTGCGGGGGCCCAGAAAGGGGGCCTTCCACGACTAAAAAGGTCAAGAAAACAACATGCGAAAAAGGTTCAGATGATACAAGAAAAGGTTGAGCAATACTACTAACAAGGTGTTGAGGGCCTTCTGTTTTCAAAGTACCAAAGAAAGGTCAGGACAACCAGACGGCAGGCTCTGGTTACTTCAAAGCTTTCTTAGAAGGCCAACAGCTTAGGCGGAGGGGCCTTTGCCTGGGGGATACCGTTTGGCTGCGCTCCTGAATTGCGTCTTCCCGTAGGCTCCAACCACACAGGTGTAAAGCTTGCCGAGTTTGCGGAGTGGGCTCAGAGGGGACCCTGGATTCGTGCGACGGAAAGGCGGGAGGCAGATGCGGCATAGACGGCAACAGAGAAGTCGTGCCATACGAAGCTGAGGGCGCACAACTCACCAGGGCCCAGAGCTAAGCTGAGGTGACCGAGGGCTTCTGTGTTCTGCGGCAACTCATGGGAGCCTCTCATACCATGCTGCTGGCTCTTGCGAATCAGCGCTGAAGCGACGCTATTCGACGCTAGCCGAAACTATTCGACGCCAGTCGACGCTAGCCGACACTAACTCGGCGCCATCTCATCGACTAGCAGACGCTAGTCGATGCTAGTGCACTCTAAAGACGGAATTGCTAGGGTATACAAAGCTCCCATGAGTAACATGACCATCGGTGGATTATCGATTATCGATTTCTGAGGGCCACCTGCTGGAAGGCTGATCTCTTGTTCGACGCGCCTGCTGTAACTGCCACATATGTATGTATATGTGTATATATATATATATATGTATATATATAGATATATGTATGTGTGTGTGTGTGTGGCTGAAGATGGCTCCAGCCACCCGAAACTGCCCAAGAGGGACCCAATATCCACCCGAGGCGGCTCAAGGAAGCCTCTGGAAGAGCCGAAGACGGCCCAAGAGAGCTACAAGACCTTGCAAGACTGGCCAAGGCGGCGCCAGGACAGCCCAAGAGGGACCCCGAAGGGCCCCACAAAATAACAACCCGAGACAACCTGAGAGGGCCTAAGATGCCTTCAAACTCCTTTCGAGAGGACCCCCCACGAGACCCCGAGAGACCCCGAAGGATCCCCAGAGGCTTCCAAGATGCCTCTCGCCTCTGGGCCACGGCGCGTGCCGACGGCGGCGGGAGGGGCCGAAAGCCATTCGATGCGAGGAGATTGCAACCACCGGGCCACCGGAGCAAGTTGCGACCTGCAGTAAGACGGGCCACCACCCCGTCCCATCCCATCCCTCTCCCGCCCCCTCCTACAAGACTCCAGATTTCGTAATAAAAGGGAGGGGGTCTGGACCCTCCAAGACAAGCCATTTCAGACCTCCCCCGTGGGAGAACCGTCCAAAACATCGTCCTCAGACCCCCCAGGCCCTCCAAGAAAGCCTGGAAGAGATCCCCCCCCGAAATGAGACCCCCCCTACCTTTATTACGAAATCTGGAGTAGTCGATTCCATTGAGAGTTGCCATGTGCCAGTCTTCCAATCATCGTTGTCCCAACCCTCCTTGGTTGGGTATTCGTTTTGAATAGAGCAATGCTCGCGCGTCCTCGTTCCTTCCTCCCGCCTCCCGCCTCCCGCCTCCCGCCCACCTCCTTCTTGTCTCCTCTTGCCTTGTCTGGGGGGCTGCGATCTGCGAAACCGTCGCAACTTTCGAGGGCTGCTGGTGGGTCCTGCGGAGAGAGGCACCGCGCGGATCTGAGCGGGACCTCCCCGTCCCTGGGGGGCTGCGCCCTGCGAAACCGTCGCCACTTTCCAGGGCTGCGGGCGGGTCCAGCGGAGAGAGGCACCGCGCGGACCTGAGCGGGACCTCCCCGTCCTTAGGGGCTGCGGTCTGCGAAACCGTCCCCACTTCCGAGGGCTGCTGGCGGCTGCGATCTGCGAAACTGTCGCCACTTTCGAGGGCTGCGGGTGGGTCCAGCGTAATGAGGGACCGCGCGGATCTGAGCGGGACCTCCCCGTCCCTGGGGGGGCTGCGATTTGCGAAACCGTCGCCACTTTCGAGGGCTGCTGGTGGGTCCACCAGAGTGAAGCACCGCGCGGACCTGAGCGGGACCTCCCCGTCCCTGGGGGGCTGCGCCCTGCGAAACCGTCGCCACTTTCGAGGGCTGCTAGTGGGTCCACCAGAGTGAAGCAGCGCGCGGACCTGAGCGGGGCCTCCCCGTCCCTGGGGGGGCTGCAATCTGCGAAAATGTCGCCACTTTCGAAGGCTGCTGGTGGGTCCAGATGAGCGAGGCACCGCGAGGATCTGAGCGGAACCTCTCTGTCCCTGGGGGGCTGCGATCTGCGAAACTGTCGCCACTTTCGAGGGCTGCTGGTGGGTCCAGCGGAGCGAAGCACCGCGCGGACCTGAGCGGGACCTCCCCGTCCCTGGGGGGGCTGCGATCTGCGAAACCGTCGCCACTTTCGAGGGCTGCTGGTGGGTCCACCAGAGTGAAGCACCGCGCGGATCTGAGCGGGACCTCCCCGTCCCTGGGGGGCTGCGCCCTGCGAAAGTGTCAGCAGTTTCGAGGGCTGCTTTTGGGCCCAGCGGAGTGAGGCACCGCGCTGACCTGAGCGGGACCTCCCCGTCCCTGGGGGGCTGCGATCTGCGAAACCGTCGCCACTTTCGAGGGCTGCTGGTGGGTCCAGCGGAGTGAGGCACCGCGCGGACCTGAGCGGGACCTCCCCGTCCCTGGGGGGGGTGCGATCTGCGAAACCGTCGCCACTTTCCAAGGTTGCTGGTGGGTCCACCAGAGTGAAGCACCGCGCGGATCTGAGCGGGGCCTCCCCGTCGCTGGGGGGCTGCGATCTGCGAAAATGTCGCCACTTTCGAAGGCTGCTGGTGGGTCCAGAGGAGTGAGGCACCGCGAGGATCTGAGCGGAACCTCTCTGTCCCTGGGGGGCTGCGATCTGCGAAACTGTCGCCACTTTCGAGGGCTGCTGGTGGGTCCAGCGGAGTGAAGCACCGCGCGGATCTGAGCGGGACCTCCCCGTCCCTGGGGGGGCTGCGATTTGCGAACCCGTCGCCACTCTCGAGGGCTGCTGGTGGGTCCACCAGAGTGAAGCACCGCGCGGATCTGAGCGGGACCTCCCCGTCCCTGGGGGGCTGCGCCCTGCGAAACTGTCACCACTTTCGAGGGTTGCTGGTCGGCTCGCCACTTTCGAGGGCTGCTGGTGGGTCCAACGGAGTGAGGCACTGCGCAAACCTGAGCGAGGCCTCGCCGTCGCTGGGGGGGCATGTCATGTTGCTGCTGCCTCGCCGGCGTTCCAAGCCCCTTGTCCACCGTCTCATTTGGGACCTCGCGTCTTCCTTAGTGGCTCAGGGGTTCACTTAGTTACTCATCGAGTTTCCCATGATTGGGGGCCTGCGAACCCTCCGAATGCCGCTCGCAGAAATAGATGCGTCCACGTCACGTCCCCGCCTTCTCGTCAAATCTCCCAAGCTACTCCTGCACCGCATTTCGCAGGGGTTGGGTACGTCGCCAGGGTAATGTTCCATCTGTCGCTCCACAGACTGTGCTCACGTCCTTTCTCTCGTCCACTGTTTTCTTGTGCAGCGCCCCCATCCACTTGCCGCCACTTCTGACTGACCAGTCCTATCCCTTCTTATCGTGATCTGCTGGTGCGGCCAACGACTGTTTAGGGCTCCCTCTAGAACAAGGAGGGTCGAACATGGGAAACTGGCTGCGAGCTGATGTGCATGATGCAGATGTGCACATGTTCCAACCTGGGCCGCGGAGATGTTGCAGCGAGGAGTCGCAGACGTGGTGCTGGACACAAACAATGTAGGGAAGTGACGCTGGGGCCAGTCCAGGAATATTGTAGACTCGTATGTTCAAAACTTGCCAGCTCACGCAAGGGGCCTGACTTCCACGTCGGACTGTTCCTCAGGCCTCTGCCACGAACGCTAGCGGCATCAGGCAAGCCTGCCAGCCATCAATGCTGAACGGATTCAGAATCAACACTGGTCGTCCTTATGATTCATCTTGTCCACCTTACCCTTCAAACACACAAACGGAATTCTTGGATCCTTCCGCCCTGTCCACATCTCTCAAGTAAGAGTGAACTGCATAAACGTAGTCCTTGGATCGGCGCTGGATCCCCCTGCCCGAGGCACGGAGCGCGCCAGGGGCGTCTCCAGAGGCGCTGCTGGTGGGGCCCAGCGCCCATCCAAGAGATCCGCGCGGAGCTCCAACCGTTTATGTGTAAGCAGTGTTTCTTCTTCGGCCTGCTTCTACTTCGCATCCACGCTGTCCTTCTTCTCCTTATCATCCTTATCCTTCTTCTCCTTCTTCTCCTTCTTCTCGTTGTGTTCCTTCTTCTCCTTCTTATCCTTCTTCTCCTTCTTCCCGTTGTGTTCCTGCTTCTCCATCTTCTCCTTCTCTTGCTTGTCCTTCTTATCCTCCTCGCCGCCCTCGATGGCCATAGCCAGCAATCTCTGCAAGGCCCGCGGGTCGTCCACGCTGTCCTTCTTCTCCTTATCATCCTTATCCTTCTTCTCCTTCTTCTCCTTCTTCTCGTTGTGTTCCTTCTTCTCCTTCTTCTCCTTCTTATCCTTCTTCTCGTTGTGTTCCTGCTTCTCCATCTTCTCCTTCTCTTGCTTGTCCTTCTTATCCTCCTCGCCGCCCTCGATGGCCATAGCCAGCAATCTCTGCAAGGCCCGCGGGTCGTCCACGCGGTGGATCGCCCGCACGACCTCGTTGCGCAGGCGAGCCAGCTCGGATCCGCTGCCGCCGAGCGCCAAGGCGGCTGCCTCCTCGGAGAACCAGCCAACCGAACAGACATGAGCACAACCCTTCGGGGTACCGCCAAATGTCACCGGTCGGCGCTGCAACCACCCGAGGGACGCCCGGGGCGGCGACGGAGGCGCCGCTCAGGGTGAGGGGAGGGTTAGGGGGAGGGTGAGGGGAGGGTCAGGGGGCAACTCCTGAGGAGCTTTTTGGCACGATCGACCACGGAAAGTCAGGCCCGATCAGATAGCTCGCTACCAGGTCGAATGAGCTCCGAGGAAGCAGCACTAAATAATTGAATACTGCTGGATTGTTAATCTCATAACTGAAACACGCAAGAATTGAATTATGCCGGACTGGGACCAAGGCTAGCCGAGCTCAACCTCCCGGGAACTTCGACCTGTAGGGAGGGCCCGCCCGCGCCGACCAAAGAGAGAGAGCCCGGCGGACCTCTGGAAGTTCATGCTCACAGTTAGCACGCACGATGCGAACGCTTCCTGTAAAATACGAAGCGGGAATTGATCCATATCCGCCGCCTGGGAACCGACGTCCTGGTGCCCCGGCGGGCGGTGGATATGGACATGTTTTGGCCCCTGGGGGCCCGAATATATATATATATATATATATATATATATATATATACACACACATCCATATCCATATCCATATCCATATCCATGTCCATATCCATATCCACCGCCTGTGAAGCCCACGAGGATCGATCCCCCAGGCGGTGGATATGGGCAAATGCCAGACTCGGATACAACATCCATCGTCGACTCTGAGCTTCGCACGGTGGCCCAGGGCTCAGTGGCCCCCCCGCGGAGACACGATGCGATCGTGGCGCACCCGCTGGCAGGCCAGCCTATCCCTGAGATGGGCAAGCAAGCAGCGACGACAATCTCAGGGATGGGCCCACGGAGACCGAGGGAATCCTTAAGATCGGCATCGATGCCAGGTGGTGCCAAACCTAGGGCTAGAGATCTGCTTCAGACTGGCAACTTCTTCGCAACGTGTGCCTGGTGTGTGCCGTCGTGCGGCCCCCGGCGCCTGCAGCTCCCCAAACTCCCGCAGGGGGTCGAGGCCGGCCCCGTCGCCGGCACCCTCCCCGCCCGCCCTCAGCCACTTGACCTCGCCCCCGGGCTGGGGCGCGCACCACCGGCCTGACGCCGCGGTCCCCCGGCCACCCCGAGGGCCAGGGGGGGGGGCAGACTGCTGCGCGGACGACGTGCCCAACCCCTGCGTTCCACGCGTGGCCCCAGAACAGCTGGGAAGGATTCACAGGGGGGGCGACGTGGCAGGGACCTGCAATCACGTGTTGCGCACGCCACTGGGGAGGCTGGCCGAGCTGCGCGACCGGCAATAAACCGAGCACCGGTCGGTGTGCAAGGGCATGACGGAGGTGAATCGAAATGAAAGAAAACTCCCCCCCCAAGCAGCCCTCGAGAGTGGCAGCACTTTCCCAGATAACACCCCCCACAAGGGAATGGCGAGGTCTCATGTAGGTCCGCGGCAGGTTACCCAATATGCTGCCCACCCCAGGAGCCCTCGATCTGAGTCTAGGTAGTGCCTCACTACGCTGCCCCGCCAGCAAGCCCTCGAAAGTGGCGCCAGTTTCGCAAATCGCAGCCACCCAGGGATGGCGAGGTCTAGACTGACTCTGGGTAGGGCCCCTACCATGCTGCGCCCCCCCCAGCAGCCCTCGAAAATGGCGACCGTTTCGGCGATCGCAGCCCCCCAGAAATGGCGAGGTCGAATCTGAACCCGCGTATGGCGTCACTGTGCTGCCCCCCATATTAAGCCCTCGAAAGTGGCGACTGTTTCGCCGATCGCAGACCCCAAGGGATGGCGAGGTGCAATCTGAATCCGCGTATGGCGTCACTGTGCTGCCCCCGCCATGAGCCCTCGAAAGGGGCGACAGCTTCGCCGATGGAAGCCCTCCAGGGATGGCGAGGTCGAATCTGAACCTGCATGTGGCGTCACTGTACTGCCAGCCGCCAGCAGCCCTCGAAAGTGGCAACCGTGTCGCCGATCGCAGCCTCCCATGGATGGCGAGGTCGAATCTGAACCCGCATATGGCGTCACTGTGCTGCCCCCGCCATGAGCCCACGAAAGTGGCGACCGTTTCGCCGATCGCAGCCCCCCGGGGATGGCGAGGTCGAATCTGAACCCGCGTATGGCGTCACTGCGCTGGCCCCTCCAGCAGCCATCGAAAGAAGCGGCAGTTTCGCAGATCGCAGCTCCCCAAGGATGGAGAGGTCAAATCTGAGTCTGTGTGACTTCACTGTACTGGCCCCCCAGCAGCCCTCGAAAAATGCGACAGTTTCGCCGATCGCGCAGCCCTCCAGGGATGGCGAGGTCGAGTCTGAACCCGCATATGGCATCACTGTGCTGCCGCCCCCAGCAGCTCTCGAAAGTGGGGACAGTTTCGCAGATCGCAGACCCCCCACGGATGGCGAGGTCGAATCTGAATCCCCGTATGGCGCCACTGTGCTACCCCCTCCCCCCCCCACCCAGCAGCCATCGAAAGCAGATCGCAGACCTCCCACGGATGACGAGGCCTAGTTTAGCTCCGCGTATGGCGTCGTTGTGCTGGCCCCCCCAGCCGCCCTCGAAAGTGGCGACGGTTTCGCAGATCGCAGCCCCTATGGATGGCGAGGTCGGAGGCAGGTACGAGAGAGGTACAAGACAAGAGGAGAGAAGAGAGACAGAGACATATATATATATATATATATATATATATATAGAGTCATTGATGCATGCATGCATGTATGTATTATGTATATATATAGCACAAACGGACATGGAGGAGGCGGGAGGGGGCTGTCAGGAGGGATGCGACCACCATGCTCTATCCACATCGAGATCCCAGGCAAAGAGGGTTAGGAAACGAGAAAGTGAGAAAGATAACAAGAACACAAGAGAGAGAGAGAGAGAGACAGAGAAGGAGGGCAGCGCGGGGAGGCAGAGGAAGGCCGCGACCACAGCGCTCTGTTCAAAACGAGAACTCCACCAAGGAGGGCCGGGGACAAAAGCCCAAACACCCTCCTCCTCCTCCTCCTCCTCCTCCTCCCCCTCCTCCCCCTCCTCCTCCTCCCCCTCCTCCTCCTCCTCCTCCTCCTCCTCCTCCTCCTAAGATGCGATGCTCTGCTGGCGGGGGCGGGGCCGCCCGACCTCCCAGAGGCCCCCATAAGGAGCAGCCAACGAGGCACGCACGGAGACGGCACACTCCTGCCGCCTGCCCTATAGGCCTCTGCCGCGGGCCATCCCGGCCTGCGGCGCCAGCCCAGACCCCCTCGAGGCATGACAAAAATCACGACGGGACGTTTTTCGCTATTTTCGGCCTCCGGGGGCCCTTACCGGCCCTCAGGACCGTCAAAAAACGACTCGGGATGAAAAGCCGGTCCCGGGGAATGGGTCCGGACCTCTGGGGGTCGCGTCATGAAAAAATCATGACGTCGATCGGGGGTCTGGGTCCGGGGCATCCGGACCCGGACCCGGAACGGCCGCGCGCCCGCCGTTCGCGGAGCCCAGACTGACTACCTACCAGGCCACCCCAACCCATCCCGAAAGCCCGAGCTTCGGGTTGGGGGGGGTACGGGTTCCATGTGTGTCTTCTCGATGTTCCCCGACCCCCCCCCCCACTGGACATGGAGGGCAAATCGAGGCCTCCGGGTTGGGTTGGGGTGGTCTGGTGGGTGGTGACAAACACCGGCCCCCGGGCCGGGGGGCCGACGGTGGCGACCAGCTCTCGCTTGCCCCCCCCCCCCCCCGGCCCTCTCGGTGGCTCATCGGACCGCGGGCCTGGCGCCCCGAACCCGCCCGCGACGCTCTGGAGCAGCCGCTCCACGGCCCCCGACACCACGCGGCAGTCCCTCAGTGGGTAGGGCTCGCTGCCGGCCTCCTCGCCGCTGCCGTCGCCGCCCGGGGGCCCCGCGCGCGCGAGCTGCCGCAGCCGCCCGCGCGCCGCGGCCAGGTCCACGAAGGCCTCCGCGGAGAGCTTGCACGGCAGCTCCTCCCCGAAGGCCCGCGCGGCGCAGATCTGGGGGGCCTCCTCCCCGGATCTCCGACGAGGTGCGTTTTTTCCTCGGCCAGGGGCTTCTCCTCGCTTTCGGCCCCCCGCGGCCCGTTGATCGGGCCCTGGGGGTGACCACGAAAAGCGGGCCCCGGGCGAAAGCCCAACCCTGGGGGGAGGTGTCGGGACCGCTGGCCGCGCATAGAAAACAGAAGATCGTCGAAGGTCCGGGCCTCCGCAAGGTACAGCTGATTGCCACAGCAGTGCCTGGTCTACACAGCATCCTGCGCAACTGGGGCTCAGAACGGCCATAGTCATGCATGCTGGTGTGTTGATGATTCCTGCGGGTCCTCCTCCTGAGACTCGAAGCCGAACTGCAGGTCGGCGTCCGCGACCGACGCGGTGAGCAGCCAGAAGGGGAGGTGCGCCAGGCGCAGTGTCACGAAGCCCTCCGTGAACGCGATGTTCCCCGCCCCTATCAGCTGAATCCCCCCGCAGCACCCGAGCACCCGGAAGTCTGCGGACGACTCATCGGAGTCTTCCTCCAACACGTGGCAAGCGAAGCCCGTGGGGTTCCTCCAGCTCGGCAGCACCTTCACAGCGATCCTCGCGTCGTCCTCTGAGGATCGCCAGAGGGCCTTCCACTCGATCCTGCACGGGTGCGACACCCAGTCGCGACCGAACTCCACCTCGACGGCGCCGTCCTGGCCGTCGGCGGCAGCCACATCCGCCGTCGCCCTCTCCCGATCCTCTGGGAGCGGCCGCGGGCCCAGGAGGGACGTCAAGAGGGGGCGGCCCGCATCAAAGGCGGAAGCCAATGAAATCACGGGCCAAGGAAAAACGAGTTCAAGATCCACGCCGGAGAGGAAAGTCCGAGAGGAGAGTCGGCGAGAGAGTCGGAGAGTCGGGGATGTGAGTCCGAGGGGGTATTCAGAAAGGAGAGTCGGAGGAGAATTGAAGAGGAGAGTCGGAGAGGAGAGTCGGACAGGAAAGTCCGAGAAGAGAATCGGAGAGGAGAGTCGGAGATGAGAGCCCGAAAGAGGAATCCGAGAAAAGAGTCGGAAAGAGGAGTCGGAGAGGAAAGTCCAAGAGGAGACTCCGAAAGGAGAGTCCGAGAAGAGAAGGAGAATCGGAGAGGAGAGTCCGAGAGGAGAGTCGGAGTGGAGAATCCTGAAGGAGAGAATGAAGCGAGAGTCCGACAATAGAGTCGGAGAGGCGTGTCGGGGAGGAGAGCCCAAGAGGAGAGTCAGCGAGGAGAGTCGGAGAGAAAGGTCCGAGAGGAGAGTCCGAGGGGAAAGTCGGAGGGGAGAGGCGGAGAGGAGTGGAGTGTTAACTGCTGCGGAGGTGTGGGGTGGAGTGGGTTCGATCATGTAGGATGAGTTGGGACAGAGGCGGGTGAGGCGCGGAAAAATGGGAAGGAGCATAAACGAATGGTGGAATTAAGTCGGGGGCGTGAATGAGTGAAGCGGAAGGAACGCGGAATTTTCGAATATATGGGATTGAAGAAAGTGGGGAGGGGTGGGAAAGAGTGGGGTGGGAATATCGTGGAAACAGAAGTTGGGGGCTGGGAGAAGTGGGGACGCACGTAGAGGGCATCCAGGAAGACACACACACACACACACACACACGCAAGTCTGCCGGGGACCAGCGAAACACGACACTAGCCTTGCTAAGTTCACTCCTACGCGTCCTGCCTGCAGCCGTGCGGAAAAATCGAGAATGCGAAATTACATTCTTGCCTTCCCGCTCTCCTTTCACCCCCGTTGTCCTTCACTCCACTTCTCGCACCCTCCCGTCCCTCCTCCCTGTCGTTATTCCCTCCTTGTCCTGAGCATATGGGCAATACACAACTACCGTGTCACACAACAACAGCTCCGGCTGAGTTTCCCCGAGACAGCACTCTCGTCTCCGGCTCTCGTCTCCGACTCTCCTCTCAGAGTCTCGTATCCAACACTCGTCTCCGACTCAAGTCTCCGACTCTCCTCCTCGACTCTCCTCTCCGACTCTCCTCTCCGACTCTCTTCTCGGACTCTCCCCTCCGACTCAAGTCTCCGACTCTCCTCTCGGACTCTCCTCTCGGACTCTCCTCTCCGACTCTCTGGGCCCAGGCCCAGGCCCCTGGCCGGCCCAGGACCCCCCCCGCTCGGAACAATTGGATCGAGATCAAACATGGGGGCCTCCTAGGGGCCCCTGGGGGCCTCTTGGGGCATTCTGGAGGCCACTTCGGGGTCTCCAAGCTCTCTTCTCCAACGGAGCCAAAGCAATGAGATCGTGATCCAATGTTCTGCTGGTGTGAGAACCTCGTAGAACCATTGACTCGCGATCCAATTTTTCGTGGATCGTGATCTCATATATTTTCCTCGGACGGCCGGGGAGGCCTCCAGCCTGCTGGGAAGATGTCTGAACCTTCTCGATCTGTAGAAACACACGGCTTCCAGAAAGGCTGGAGGGCTTTGGAGAAATCAGGCCGCCTTCTGAGAACGCGCGGCCCTTCCCCAGAAATGATCGCGTCGTACACAGATCAGGACGGGAGTTTTTGTTGCCGTTTTCGGCATTGGGGGGCCCTCGCTTTGCCTCTGGACCGTCAAAAAAACGATTCGGAATGAAAAACTGGTCACTGGGAAAGGGCCGGGACTTCCACGGACCCCACATTGACAAAAATCAGGACGCTGCATGTCGGGGTCTCGTTTCCCCCCGGGCGCGCCGCCGATAGGAGGGATGATTCGGGCGTGCCCCCGTACACGGGGACCCTGAGCGAAAAATGGAGAACACCCCCAAAATGCACCAACAATGCTGAAACATGGGGAGAAACAACACATCGTCTCCAGGTAATTTTGTGACTATGTTTGAACACTCCCCCTGTAGAGATACACGCCCGACTTAATATCACCATAAACCGTCGGAGCTCTGCGCAGAGCTGCGACGGGCTCTGTCTGTGCCTTTCGTTTGAGCCTTCCTCGGTCCTCGCGCTCGCGCAGTGCAGCGCGGGCCCTGCAAATCGCCCGCTGGAACGAGGGCGCCTTCTTGACTGTCCTGCTCTTCTTGGCGCCCTCCACCGCGAAGAGCCCAGTGAGCCAGGCGAAGAAGGCCTCGGACAGGCCGTCGGCGGAGACTCCCCTTTCCTGTAGAGGAAAAGGAAGCTGAAACCATCAACTCTTGGATCTCCGCGCGGATTTCTTGGATCTGCGCTGGAGCCCCTGGCGGCGCCTCTGGCGCCGATCCTTGCGCGCTCCGCGCTCCGCGCTCCTGGGAGCGCGCCGATACAAGGAATCCGCCCAGACTTCCAGAAGCTCAAGCTGATGCACACGTTTTGTCCTCGGTCCTCGCACGCCTCCTGCGGCCATGCCTCGGCCAGCTTGCCCAGTGCCGACCGCCCTTTCTTGGAGAGCTGCCTCGCGGCTACCGGTGCCGCGGGCTCCGTGTGCGCCAGGTCTCCCAGCGCCTCCAAGAGCGCGAGCAGCTGGCCGCAGGATGCCAGAGGCTCGGGCGCTGCCAGCGCGGAGAGCCAGGGCCACCCGACAGCATCGGCTTCGGCACTTGCACCCACCTGGGCCGCAGCTGGCACCTCGTCGCGCTCGAGCTCCTCTCTTGCCAGCGTGATGCTGAACTCCTTGCGCCCGCATGGGAACTGCAGCAGCTGCTGCACCGTCAAGGCCACGTGGTTGAGTATGGGCTCGCCGCTCTGCGCCGCGCCGGGGGTGCCGCGGCTGTCTCCCTCGGCAAGATGCTGGGCCCGCGCTGCCGGAAGCGCTGCCATCACGCTGCTGCCTCCCTTCTTGGTCTCCTCGCACTGCAGCTCGGCTCCGTCAGAGGCAATGGCCAAGACGCGCTGAACGGCGCCAGGCTTTCCCTGGATCACAGGTGGCACGCTGGACATCACCACGACGCGCTGCGGGTCCATCCTCTGCCTGCGTATCACCTGCAGCCCCTGGTCGCATTTCTTGCCCAGGCGGCCCACGATCAGGCTGTCGGAAAACGCCGCCGCCAGCAGCGCCCTCAACTTCTCCGGCCCCGCCTCGAACATGTGCGCACCATCGCGGGCGAACCGCACCCCCGCGGCTGCCGCGGCATCTTCCTCCAAACCAGCCTCCCACTCGGCGACCCAGTCGCCTGGCGCCGTGCGCTCGCGGCCGTTCTCCGCCCCGAGGCTGCGCAGCAGCGCGCGCAACTGCACGCCCGCCGACGAGCCGGGCTCGCACATTCGCAGCGACCGCCCCGCGCAGTCCGCGACCGCGCACACGAGCTGCGTCAGCCTGCGGGCCACAACCGCGCGGGTGCGCGAGAAGCTCCGCGCGTGATTCGCCCACGACCTGAAGCCCGCCAGCTGCGCGCCCGGGCGGCCGCGCCACCACTCCAGGAAGAGCGCGCGCAGCATCAGCGGCTCGGAGAAGGCACCCATGTCGAAGTGGCTGCGGGACTGCAGCGAGCGGCCAAGCTGCCTGGCCAACTGAGCGGTATCCATCGACTCGACGAAGGGGCTGGGGACCTCGAATGGGTCCTTTCAGCGACGCGCTGGAAGGGTTGGGGCGAGGAAGGTGGTCGCTTTCCGTCTGAGAAGGCATGGTGCTCCTTGAAGGGCTCGCGGGCTTCGAAGAAGGCTTTTGAAATCAGCCCTGTGGGGGGAAACTAAGGAGAATTATCCCAGTGCGACCCTACCTAGGAGTTGGAGCCTCTAGGAAAACAACATTAGTAGGAGCGGTGAACGCCGTCCTCCTCCTTCTCCTCAGCGTCGCAGTTGTAGCAGTAGCGATAGTAGTAGTAGTAGTAGTAGTAGTAGTAGTAGTAGTAGTAGTAGTAGTAGTAGTAGTAGTAGTAGTAGTAGTAGTAGTAGTAGTAGTAGTAGTAGTAGTAGTAGTAGTAGTAGTAGTAGTAGTAGTAGTAGTAGTAGTAGTAGTAGTAGTAGTAGTAGTAGTAGTAGTAGTAGTAGTAGTAGTAGTAGTAGTAGTAGTAGTAGTAGTAGTAGTAGTAGTAGTAGTAGTAGTAGTAGTAGTAGTAGTAGTAGTAGTAGTAGTAGTAGTAGTAGTAGTAGTAGTAGTAGTAGTAGTAGTAGTAGTAGTAGTAGTAGTAGCATTAGTAGTAGTAGTAGTAGTAGCAGTAGCGGTAGCAGTAGCAGTAGCAGTAGCAGTAGAAGAAGAAGTAGTAGTAGTAGTAGTAGTAGTAGTCGTAGTAGTAGCGCCAGAACCGCCAACGCCACGCTCTAAGTGAAGCAGCAGCAGAAGCAAGCAACACACCGCCGAGACAGCAGCAAAAGCAAGCCGGCACGGAGGTGAGGGCGGGGCACTGGGGAGTTCTTTACATCTACATCTATACCTACACCTACATATACATCTACATCGACATCTACATCTAGACCCACATATACATCTACACCTACAGCTACATCTACATCTACATCTGCATCTACATCTACATCTACATCAGCAGCGAGACTCACATCTACAGCTACATCTACACCTATATATATATATATATAGATATACATATATGTATGTATACATCTACATCTACACCTACATCCACATCTACACCTACATATACATCTACATATACATCTACACTTTCGCATTGGTTTTGCGTTTGCTTTTGCTTAGCATTGCCTGTGCATTGCCTTTGACTTTGCTTTTGCCTTTGCCTTTGCTTTATATATAGCAGCAGCAATAGTGGATGCTGTGTTGCGCTATGCTATGTCATGCTATGCTATGCTATGCTGCGCAATGCTAGGCTGGGCTGGGCTAGGCTAGGCTATGCTATGTTATGCTGCGCTATGCTATGCTGCGCTATGCTATGATATGCTATGCTATGCTATGCTTTTGCTTTGCCTTCGCTTTTGCCTTCACTTTTGCCTTTGCTTTTGCTGTTGCTTGGCACCCAAGGAGCGCAACTGGGGGAACCGCGCGTTTGCTTTTACCTTTGCTGTTGCGCTTGCTTGGCTCCCGGGGGTCTGGGGGAGCCGCCCGGGGCGGTTTGCACTGCCCGGCCCCTTTCAGCCAAGCGAGTAAGAACCCTTCTAGGAAGAGCCTGGGTAGGGAAAAACCCAACCGAGGGAACGCCGGATTTCGCGAGCGGATTGTCCCAGGCGGGCCGCGCCTTGGGCCGGCCCAGGACCTGGGCCCGGGTCCAGAGAGTCCGAGGGGAGAGTCCGAGAGGCGAGCCCGAGACCCAGACCCCCGACGTCATGATTTTTTCATGACGCGACCCCCAGAGGTCCGGACCCCTTCCCCGGGACCGGCTTTTCATCCTGAATTGTTTTTTGACGGTCCTGAGGGCCGGTAAGGGCCCCTGGAGGCCGAAAATTAGGAAAAAGCTCCCGTCGTGATTTTGTCATTACTCGAGGGGGTCTGGGTCTGATTTGGAGAGGAGATCCAGAGATCGGAGAGGAGTCCGAGAGCCGAGCTCTCTCCCTTTTGAGAGAGCTCGGAGCGCGACGCCTCTGCCCCGGGCGGGCCGCGCCCCTCGCGAGGGGCGCGGCCCGGGGCCCGGGCCGGGGTCCAGGGCCCGGGAGGGCAGCTGGATGGGGGGAGAGGCCGAGGAGAGAGTCCCGAGAGGAGGGTCGGAGAAGGAGTTCGGAGCGGAGAGCCGGAGAGGAGAGTCCGAAGACAGTGCGAGAGGAGAGTCTGGGGGGGGGAGAGTCTGGGGGGGAGTCTGGGACGACCGAAAGTCCGGGAGGAGAGAGTCCGAGAGGAGAGCCGGAAAGGAGAGTCCAAGGAAGAGCCGGAGAGGAGAGTCCGAGAGTCGGAGAGAGAATCGGAGAGTCGAAGAGGAAGGTCCGAGAGGGGAGTCAGAAAGGAGAGTCGGAGGAGAATTGAAGAGGAGAGTCGGAGAACAGAGTCCGAGAAGGGAGTCGGGGGGGAGAGTCGGAGAGGAGAGCTCGAGAGGAGCATCCGACAGAAGAGTCCAAGAGGAGAGTCGGAAAGAGGAGTCCGAGGGGAAATGCCACGAGGGGAGTCCGAGAAGAGAAGGGGAGTCGGAGGGGAAACTCTGAGAGGAGAGGCGGAGTGGAGAATCTAGGAGCAGTTTTGGAGGCGAGAGCCCGACAGTAGAATCGGAGAGGCGAGTCGGGGGGGAGAGCCCGAGTCAGCCCGAGACAGTCAGCGAGGAGAGTCGGAGAGAAGCGTCCGAGAGGAGAGTCCGAGAGGAAAAAGTCGGAGGGGAGAGTCGGAGAGAAGCGTCCGAGAGGAGAGTCCGAGAGGAAAAAGTCGGAGGGGAGAGACGGAGAGGAGTGGAGTGGTGAATACTCCGGAAAAGTGGGGTGGAGTGGGTTCGATCAAACAAGATGAACTGGGAAAGAGGCGGGTGACGCGCGGAGGAATGGGGAGGAGCGCGATGGAATGGTGGAGTGACGTCGGGGGTGTGAGTGAGCGAAGCGGAAGGAATGAGGAACTGTGGATCGACTGGGCTGTAATGAAGTGGGGAAGGATGGGGAAGAGTGGGGTAGGGATGGAGTGGGAAAACAGGGCGGGGGATGGGAGGATTGGGGTCGAATGTAGAGGGCATCCAAGAGGACACATATGAGTCTGCGAGGGACAAGCGAAACACGACAGTAGCCAAGGCCCAGTCTCCCCAAACAGCGCTTGACGGGACCAGGTGTCCCTGGGGCGTGTCGCGCGAGTCTTGGGGTTTCTGGCGCGGGCCTTCCTGGGACCAAGAAGAACCCAGACGTGCCAAAGGGGCCCCACGAAACTCCCAAGACGCCCAAATCTGCCCCGAAACGGCCCAACTCAGGATCCACAGTGTCCACGGCGGCCTCAAAACAGCCCGAGGAGAAGCTCCCGAAACATCCCAACAAGGCTCCAAGAGGATCCGTAAGAGCCCCCAGAAACGCGTCTAAGAGGCCTCCAAGGAGGCTTCCCACGATGCCCTAAAACGCCGCCCAAAGACGCGTCTGGCCCACGACCCAAGCACGGCGGGCGGCGGACGCGGGCGCGTCGCTCGCAGGCTCGCCTTACAAGACCCCTTTCAAATTCAGGAGGGGGGGAGCCGAACGACGAGGCGCGCCGAGCTTAACGGCACAAGAAATTCAACGCAAGCCCAGCCACGGGACGTCTCATCGTAAAGCCGGCGCTACAGTACGAGTGCAGCTGAGCAACGAGTCGACCCAGACGTAAGCATGTGCACTGTGCACTATGCGCGATGCTCGTCTCCATTTCTCGTCGAATCCAACGGGTGTGGCCAACAAATGAACGCACTCAATAGGCTTCAGGAACTCCTCGCTGGATTGGGACTTGAAGAGAAGCTCGGCATCAATAGCAAATACTGCCTCGACGCATACAACAATAATTTTTAATATGTGCTTGGGTTGCGTCGGAAAAAGGCACGACCGTTAGTTGGGGAAGTGCGACGACGGCCGGGTGACACTCCTCCAAATGATGAGCTGCTGCTAAGGATTTCCAGCTGAGCAGCTGGAACGCATCGGTAGCCGACGCGTCTTACTGCGCGCGCCCACAAGATGGGCCGCTGCCATTCCGCTCGGCGCGTGGCCGCGCAGCAAGGGGTTGGCACCTCTGATGTCATGCCCCTTGACTGCGTCGTCGGTATAGCCGTTGATGCGACGGTGCAAGGAGTCGTTCTGCACGTTCGCTTCTCCTGTCGCAGCCAATGCGTGACATATCATTGTATTTGAACCTTGGTGCTGCTTCCGCGTAGCGGCGCTGGGTCGTCGCACCTGCATGTCGGACGGTTCCTCGCCGCGTTGCAAAGAGACCACGCGCACCACTAACAACGCCTGGGCAATGAAGGCGCACGCTGGTATGCTGCGCGAAGTGGCGAACAAATCTGGCAAACTTTGCGCACTCTTCTTGTCGGCTTCTGCCCTAGTCAAATCAGGATGCTGCGCGGGACAAACTTGTTTAATATTCGCATAGTGGTCAAGCCGGACGTGGCTGCGCTCGGTCTCGGCCAGTCTCGCGGCGCAAGTTGCGTCGCCGTGCGAGTTCAGACGGCGCGCGGCGTGGAATTTGCCCGCGCTGTCTTCGACCCCCGCCAGCAGTTTCATGTCTGTTCTTTGCTGACCCCTCGTCGTAGAAAATCGGTTTGGGGCCGAAGCATCGCGCGATGGCCCTGAGTTTGAGCGAGAGCGTCCAAAGGGCGTCATTGGCGCCTAGTCCAGACAGCGTAGGCAGCGTCGTTAATTACTCGGGAGGTGACGCAAAGCCGGGCAGCGTCCTCAGCACCGAAGCTGGGCGGGGTGGCGCTGCGAAACGCACCGCTCTTTCTTCCCCGCCAGCGGGTGCAGCTAAGTCGCGACATGTTAGGTCCTTCCAGAAAGCCTTCTTATTGCCCGCGGATGCACTTCTCCATGGCTGCACGCGCGCGCCCCCCCCTTGCGAGAGGTCTCCGGCCAGCTCGCCCAACTGCGCCAACGAGTCTCCGCGTCGAAAGCCTCGACGTCTATGCGCCCGCGAATTGCGAGGCGCAGCCTGATGGGGCGTTTAATTTCGCACTGCGCGTCCTGCGCAAATATCCGCGCGTGCACGCGCGTCCAGGTCATGATGTTCAACG